GGCTGCGGGTAGCCCTGGCTGTCGTTAGCCTCGGACCTCCACTGGTTCCAGCGGTCCTCTCAACTTCGGAAATTGTTTTTTTAATTACACATTCAATCAGTAAATGGACCACATAGTGAAGCTTTAAAGTATAATATTCTCGCCTCAAATTATTTTAAAACATACTTTTATTGAAAAACGGCAACAAAAAAAAGAGCTTTTAACTTCCAGTGGAGCGCTCCATTGAAAGCTGCTGCTGCCGCCGCAGTGCATGCTGGGACAGCTGTCAATCTCAAGAACGGACAAGTCTGCTCTGATGCATACTTGATAAAGAGGGCGGGGCTAGAACAACATCCGAGGACTCTTGTCTGTTCTCGGCCTGCTGTTCTTGTGAATTGGAACAGTACTAGGGCTGAGGTTGATGAAGTTTGACGAGCACATGAGAACGCACAAGTACACAATATTGAGAAATGGCCTTAGTCTTAGTGGAGTGGTGAAGCTATGGAAGGAAATGTTTAGATTTGATCAGAGTTCCGCTTGGTGCAAAGGGATTGGTCAGTATGTGAAGAGGTGGGATTATGTGGCACCATGGATGCATGGTGTGCATCAGATTATGCATTTAGAAGGAATTTAGCTTCAGGTAGGGCCTCTAATCCGGATCTGATCATGTGGAAGTGTGTACCTGATTTTCATATTAGGCAAAATATCTTTAATGATCAGAAAATATGCATATTTTATTTTTCTAGGGTATCTGTACTGTTAAAACTGTGCTAAAACATTTTGAATTGAACTTTATTGATCTTTAATTGGAGAAATATACCTCTGCATTTAACCCATCCCCTTGGGGAGCAGTCGGCTGCGATCGCAGCAGTGTGGGGTTAAGGGTCATGGTCATGCTCAGAGACCCAGAGTGGCAGTGGCTAAGTGGCTCGAACTCAGAACCTCAGGATTCCAAGCTTTATGCCCCTACCTACTAGGCCATCACTCCCACGTAGATGACTGTGTGTTTTAGAGACTGGCAGGGCAATTAATTTGATTTACAATTTGACAAATTAGGGGAGTTTCAATCCTTATTTCTCAGTCTCCACTTTCTCATCTGTTATTTTAATTCTTCCATCACTGCCTGTGACTTGTGTTGTCGGCAGGCCTTCATCTATGTCCAAACAGCTGAATAAACTGTATTATTGCCCCTGGAGGAGAAAGGCTATTAGAACATTAGCAATGTTAATTCTGAATCCACCAATAATTACCAACTTATGATTTCAGTGTATTTTCTTTTTGACTTTTTAACAAATGCTTTTCTTCAAAACGAAAACCTTAGTTGCTAAACAGAAAAATACAAACACTCAAACAGAAAACAGGGCTGGTATTTTACTTTTGATTTTGCCATTTTCTTCATATGAATTTCATTGAAGACTCTGCAGTTTAACACCTCTGCTTTAGTTGGAAGCAACTTCCTGATGTGTTCTTCATTTTGGAATCAAAGAATAATACAAATACAATACTAATTACCCTCAGATTAAGGCTGTAAGGTTTACTCAGATTCTTTCAATCAGCAGCTCTTCCACTCGCTCTCTGGATTTCTGTCAGATTTGTCAACTACTTTCCTCTACACCCCCATTACTAGATTTTATAAGGTGTATTTAATATATGGGGGGAATTGCCTAATATAACATTTACATAATGACTCTTTTCAGAGGCAGATTGAGACTCTGCTATGGCGTTAACGTCTTCTAGCATGTTTTATTGGGATTTTAACCTCTCTAATATCAGTCATTAAGTGTTTCCTTTGTTTTGTTTTTTCAAAGAAATTGTGTGATTAGAGATCTAATCTTTTCTAATGTAATTATTTTCTCTTACAGACGCATATTTTGAATTTGTGATGTAATGCCTTTTTTCCCCAAGAGGAAATAATACAGGAACTGGACTTTAGTTTGCTTTATTCTTGTAGATGTAGCACTCTCTTAAATTACTAAAGTTTTTGACATACTTGGTGTATTTATAACAAAAAAAACCACAGTTAAACCATCGAATCGTTTAACCTCATTTGAATTAAACTAAGAAGTTTGTCTCCCATTGTTAAAGTAGAATGTTGGTGTTTTGTTTTTATTTAGAGGTTGAATCCTTTGGAAGGCCAAGAAAACTGAATTCAAAAAGTTTCCTATATGGAAAAAGAACATTTGCAAAGCATTGATGAAAATTTGATTTCCTTTCTTCCTCAATGAGAAATTGTGTTGAGGTAATAAAAAACACCTCAGATTAACAGATTATCGGTTTATGTATACAGTTCAGATGAATTATCTCAAAGCTTTAACAGATTAACTTTAATGAAATAATTCAGACACATTGATTAAATAATTTCCTGTCTAAACTCTGCAGATAATCTCTGATCAATGATTTTGCAGAATTCATTCCTGGATGAGCAGAAAGCGACAATCACCTGCATCCAGTTTATGGCTCAAGATAATCTCTGTCATCCTCACTCCAACACGTCAGTTCACCTAAAAATGAGGAGGGTCAACTCATTTAAAAAAGGATATTTTGTATTAAGAGCTAAAGAAGTATTGTTTCATAAGGAAATAAAAAACAAGTAATTTCACTCCTTCCTTTTTTTGTTGTTGAATATTTTCATTTAGTAACTTAATTCACTCAATGGAAGATAGGTGTTTTTAACCCTTTATTTCTGTTACCAAAAATGATGATAATGAAAGTCAGATGTTTAAGATTAGAATATGACATCAAACCAATAAAAAAAGGAAATTTTAATACAGAAATGCGGGCTAAATGCCTGCTTAAAGGTTATTTAAAAGGTACATTTGATGCAACATAATGTATTTCAGTTTATTAAACATGAACATATGTAGATGATGCAGCATATATTCTAGTTGGTTTTGCAGTTATATTGTTGATGGTCTCAGTTTCTTGTTGCTCATCCAGTGCTGAAAAAAAAAAAAAAAGAAAAGCAACGTGCTTGTTTGATGCTTTTTTTTTTCAGTAAGTCCAAGAGTTGTAAGGTGTTTTATTTACCCTCCACCACTATTTACCCTCCCGGGCTTGACACGGGTGTCGCCCAGGCACAACTTACATGTCGTGTGGTGTCAACAAAGACGCTGTGCACCCGCTGATCTCAGTCACACGTCATGGACAACAGACAACCTTGTCACTTTTTCTGTCTCCTTTCATATCTGTCAAATTTGGACTAAAAAGTAAACATGAAGCTCTGCCATAACATGACGCTCTAAAACGGGAAGCTTTTCTGTCTTCGATGTAGATGACCCATCTATTAGTGAGCTTGGATTAAGCCAACGTAAAACTCACCAACTTCATTTTCAAAGGGATTTGATCAATTTTCAGTGGAGCAGGTCATCCAAGTAAATCTGCTCTACGGGTGCAAATAAACATTTTAAATTCTCATTTAGTGTTTTTTTTTTTTTTTTTTCTCTCCCCAGGAGTTTTATGACAACGCAAAGAAGTTGTGGCAGGATGATGGGGTCCGTGCGTGCTTCGAGAGATCCAATGAGTATCAGCTAATCGACTGTGCACAATAGTGAGTAACTTTGAGCAGATTTTAGTTTTTATGTTTTACCGATCTAGAATAAACTCCCAAAAAGAAGTGCTGAAACCTTAACTTGTTTTAAATCAAAATTAAAACATGGAGTAGCCTCTAATTATTAAAGTTCTGTGTAAAATTATGTTCTTATCAATCATTTTTTTATGTAATTATTTTTATGTTACTTTATTAAAAAAAATTTTTTTTTGTTTTGTCCTTTTTATGTACAGCACTTTGAATGGTCTTTCTACTGAAATCTGCTCTGTGCATAAACAAGTTTTGCCTTCAAACTGTGGCATCAATAACTGCTGACACTACTGCAGTATATAAATTAAAATGTAATTTGTAATGTCCTTTCCTAACATGCAGAGATTAAAAAAAAAAAAAAAGGAAACTTCACAGTTTTAACTGATGACTCAACATAAAGATTCTCAAGGTTTTAATTTACAGAAACAAAAATGTATATTTGTTTTTTTACAAAATATTGGCGGTGCAGACAATTGATTCTTGATTTTTGGCATCTTTCCGTATCCAATAGCTTTAAGGTTCATCCTTAAGTCATTTATCACTGAAATACAACCTGACTGAATATTAATATTTAAAGAAAGTCTAAAGTTCGATAAAGGTATCTTCAAGTTAAGCTATTTTAAAGAAAAGGAGAGGACTTTATAATTCTGGTTTGTCACATATAAGTTCAGCCTGCCTGCCTCACCTGGACTGGATGGTTTGCTTTTTTAGGTATTTATTACAGATCGATTTTACCACAAATGATTTAAATATATGAAGCTCTGACACAGGTGTGATCAGACATAAGGGGGGGATTCAACGGATTACTTAGGTTTTTTCTCTAATGTTTAGATGTTTCTTCCAGTTATCAGACATGATCTGAAGTAACAGGTATTTTCCAAGCCCTTCTACAAAGTATAGATACGCTTGGGAGGAGATGAAGGGACAGGACTGCACACAGCTGCTCTGATTGTTTCTGTGTCTGTTTTGCTGTAATTAGCTTCACGAAATTAAATTGATTATGAAGATGAATTATCATAAGATGCTAAAAATATATTCGATAAAATGTAAGAAATAATTAAAAGATGTCAGATTATGAGAATTTAATAAGTCAGAATAACTCAGATTGACCTCCTACTGGTATCTCATATTTAATGGAGTTATCAGCACATGTTTGCTTTGAGGTAAAAAAAAGAAAAAGGAAAAAAAAAAATACATTTATAAAAACAAATTTGTCAGATATATCAGATGTAACCGGTTCCGTGTTTGCACGGAACTGCCTCCTGTTGATCTCAAAGCCGTATTTTCAGAAAAGACAAACAACAAAAATGGCTGGAAAATTAGGAATTCGGGACATGGCAGCAGCCTGTCGACAGGAAAGATGACGGAGGAATTTGTTGTGGTTTTCTATATATATACATACAGCCATGGGTACTTGTTGATGGCATTAAAATTATTTCTAAGAGCATTAAAAATCATTAAATTAGAGTCACTCATTCCTGTATAAACTATAAACCCTGTAACATATGAGGGTTTTTTCTATTCCGAAAATAAATGTCTTCCTACCCCACAAACTTTTCATCACTCATGTCAAACTTCCGTGTTTTTCATTAGGATTTGAAATGACCCTTAGAACTTCATAATGATGATGATTTTAAATAGAAGGCGTTGCAACCAGATGGTTAGTTACTGAGGATTTTGATTAAATGTGTTTCTTATAGCTCAAGACTCTCAGGCACTTAGTAATAGATTTCTATTAGGGGCAATGTTTTATTTCCCACATCGACAATCATGCTCATCTAACTGTCGAATATCCACAGCTGTCTGTAAACTATTGATTTAGTGATTTTTAAATGATTCTTTTAGAATAGTGGTCTGCAGAGATTGCTGGCTCACTTTAACCCAACTCAGCCGTTTTGATTTTAACGACTAATCTAATCACGGAGACCAGACTCCCTGTGCTGACTCACTTCTTCAGTCGGTTACCGTAAAGAAAGTAAAATTATCCCATTTAATGTGAGAGTGAGTCAAGTTGTGACGCATCTTGGAATCAATTACTGTGGCTAATCTTGAGCTATATAAACAGCGGATTAAATAACCTGAAATAACTTGGTCTGTCATAAAGCTGCTGTGATGTATTGCTGCACCTTCATTTTTCTGAGCTTAAACCTAAGATCGTATTTCATAAATTTATTTTCTCTAACAGCTGTAGAGGCTTGATGCATCTCAGAGGAATCTGAGTTTTGTATTTTCTTTATGTCTTACCATAGAAATACTTCAAGTGAACCAAAATAGACTTTCTTTCTATTTCATGAGCTAGTTATGAAAGGTTCTGTAATTTGCTGTTCCTCTCTGAGCTTTTGACCAGTGTCAAATCCTATGTTGGGACAGCTGTGACCCTGCTTTGCACAGTTAGTGGTGTGCCGTGTCGCTCTGAAGACCTCATGATAAACCTGCCAGTTATATCCAACAGAAACTTTTAGATTTAATGTGGAACTAATAAAGACATTTTCTCATTTTAATGCTGTTTTTAATTTTTTTTACATGGAGCTTAAAGATCATTAGTAGTATCTAATGGAAACTTTAATAAATGTCAAATTTCTGGATCACGACTAATCCCATGTATGCTGACAGCAGAACAAAACAGTCATCCATGTTTCTGGAGCAGAAGGAGCTTGATACGTGATTCAACTGACTACAAATGTAAATCTGGAGGTGTTAAAAAACAGGATGGGTTAAATACAAAAGACAAGTTCAGTTTTAATCTATAGTTGCAATGTAAACAGGGGTTGATTTACCCATAATCCATTCCAGGCCAACCACTTCCCTTCAGTTTTCACCTAATATCTGGAATCTCTTTGTGTGTAATTTAATCTGACGATGGGACCAGATGTCCTGCCAAGGCCTCAGAGGTTAGTTGGACAACATTAAGAACAAACTGCTTGATAAAGACCAAGAAACACAAAAGGCGAACAACAACTGTGTTACAGTTAAAATCAGAGTTATACAATGTTATTCAAAAATGTCAGAAAAAACTGGTTTATTATTCAGAAATATCAACACTGGGAAACTACCAAGACCTAAGCTTTCATCTAAAGCAACAGGCTGGGGAGGGGGGACATTAGTCAGAGAAGCAGCTAGAAGGCTTTTTGTTTCCTCTAGAGCAGCAGGAGGCAAAATCCTTAAACAGACATTTACTTCAGCTTGAAATAATGAATCGTATTAATGAACTATTAAAATAGTTATGAAGTAGTTAGATAATTGACAGGCCATTGAGAAGAGTATACAGACATTTGGTTAAAAAAATAAACAAATCTGAGCAAAAATGGGGTTCAAGCTGTATAAAAATGTCTTAAGAAAAACAAACAATGCTTTTAAGATGAAAATTCATGGTCGGTAAAAATGCTCTGAATGGAAAATACATTTTAATAAATTTCCTTGCTGCTGATTATTTCCCTTTAGTTGTTCAGCAATGGAAATCTGATTCTCCTGGTGTAGCAGAGTGGTATAACTGCAGCAGATTTTTTTGTTTTGAAGCAAACATGGCTGAGACTGAGTCATCCACAGATAAGAGGATGTTTCCCAGAGGGGGGGGGCAGTGTTTAAGAAGGATACCTTTGCTGCTGAGTTCAAGACCCCCAGCTTACCACCTCAACTGCCTCTTAGAGGCGATAAATTCATCTTCACTTTAAGATGCATCATATTCCTGCATTATACCACATAAAAATAAGAATTTTATTGGAATAAATTCCCCCATGCCTCCCCCCTCATGAGATAGTACAGTCCATAGTTTTGTTCCCTCCCATTTTTCAAAAACACAAACTGATCCCCATCCTGCTCTTATTTTCCTGTTGCTCCTCCTCCACCTTCAGTCTCTTCATTCGTCTGTCTTTTTTTTCTGGAGCAGCACCAGCAGCATGAGATTGGGAGCTGATAGACTATTAATAGCTCCTGTAGTTGGGTCTCCATGGGTATGGCGCTGCAAGCCAAGGTGGCAGGGAGCTATTTTTGAAATCTGCTCCATAATGTCAGTCAAAGACAACTGAAATTTCATTCTGCCTTTCCTGCTACCACAGCCCTTTTTCCAAAATCCATATTTTTCATTCATTTACCGTCCTTATCCAATGCTGCAAAAGCTCCTGTATCGGAACCCATGATCAACCTAACAGAAGTTGGATTCAGTCAGGAGCACACGGATATTAGCCGAGCAAATTGATTGCTTACCTCTTGAAGTTTCTTTTAAAACAACATTAATACTGTAAAAGGCAACTTGAAACACTGAAGGGTTTGCAGAACCAAAATCGATCAAATTAACTAGACTGGTTCAAGCCTCCACGCCTTCTTTGCCGTCATGTTCAGCTGCCCCTAAGGATGACTTCTGACTATTTATTACCGTTTTACCATATTTTCCTGACTATAAGCTGCTACTTTTTCCTACCCTTTGAACCATGTAGCTTAGGTAAAGGTGCAGCATTTCTGTGTAGTTTTCTTTAATGGCCAGGGGTGAAAGTTAAAGTTGGAAACAAAAGGGGAGTGTCACTACCCGATCCGCACTGGAAGCACGATCCGTATCATCGGCTCATTTGTGCATGTGCAAGCAGATATTTATCCAGGTCATCATAAATTAAATGATCATGGTACTAAAAGTACTTCTATCATTAAATCACTAAAGAACGCTAATGCTAATCTTTAAAACATTTTTTATTACTGTTCTGAGAAAATTTGATGCTTTTTAAATTTTCTATGTTAAACTGCCTTTCCGACTTCGTCGGACATGCTCAGAGTAGTCCGGCAAAATATGATTGAACCATGTTTATCTGCATTTTAGTTGTTTCTTCCTTTAGGTTACGCACTATATAACATAAGATTAAGATGAAAGGAAAAAAGAAAACTCAAAAAGATTAGATTCATATTTAAACCCAAAGCCAAAAAAGTAATCTCCCGGTTATACCGTAGGATCTAATTTCCAGCAGAGAGAAGTGATATAACACGTACAGGTTTGGTGGGGACACTTCAGTAGATATCAGCCGCCTATAGCTCGTTGTGGCTTATACGTGTACATTTCCAGTTTTTAAATAAAACTTTGTGGGTGTGGCTTATAGTGGTTGTGCTCTATAGTCCAGAAAATACTGTATTAATTTAGATTAAATGACTAATCCAGAACACAAGTGTGACATATGTTTTTTGTCAGGCCAAACGACTGGCCAACAGTGACATCTACTAAATGGCATCTAATACACGTCACTGTCTGGATTTCCTTCACCTTATGCTCCACCTGCTTCCCTTAAACACAAAAAACTTAAAAGATAACATACATACCATTAAAAAAATTTGAATTAACTAAATTTTGATCAGAATCATGATCATGGGCCATAAATAACAAATATCCTTTAAATCTCTACATTTTTATCAAAACCAGCCTGAAATGTAGTTTTTAACAGGTGCTTTTTTTTTTTTTTTTACATTTTTTCCCCATGTAATTCATCCAAATACATACAATTAAGAGTATTTGAAAGACTTTATAAAAGTTGAAATTCTAAAGGGATTTTAAAACAAAGTAGTACAAATACTTAAAGCCTATTTTTTGGTAGGATGTTGGACAAAAAGGTGTAGACCAAAAAAGTGTAGCAGTCACAGAGATTCAACAGTTTTTAAAGACTTTCATAAGAAAAAATACAATGAAATGGATATCCCAAGTATATTGCCTACCTTACATAAAGATTAACTGCAGTTTTCATCAATGCATAAAATGACACTTTAAGATATACCGGTAGTCATTTTCAAATATCTAGAATCAAATCATTCAGAATTATTTACCCCAGGATTAAGATAAATGTCATCTCATGATCTGCCATATTTTCATGTCTAAACATTTGAGCTTGAAGTTAAGTCAGAACATGCTTTCTCAGTATAAATAAATCTGGTTTTTCTGTTTTCAGCTTTCTGGACAAGATCGACATTGTGAAACAGAGTGATTATTCCCCAACGGATCAGGTGGGTTAATATTTACACTTCCAGGGATTCCAAGCTACGGCAGCTATCTAATTTAAATCTGTCAGTTTAGTCAAATTATATAGCATCATTCAACAAATCACTTCTTATGCTAAGTTGTAAAAGAAGCAGATCAGCCCAATCATAAATACAGATTGACATTCAGTTTGGTCTGTGTTAAAATACACAGCTGTCATGGTAGGTTTATAGTGATAAAAAATTAAAAAACATTACTGTTATGAACCAGTAATCGGTGAGAAAGTTGGTTACATGAGATTAAGTTTGCACCAATCGCCTGTAATAAGTGTCCATGAACCGACATTGGAATCAAAGGAATCGTTTTTGACAGGAAGGAACCATCCAGGTTTGTCAAACTCTAGTCCTCAAGGCCAGGTAGGCCTGGTCCAAGACCCCTGAATCAGATTTCCTTCAAGGAGTGTTAAAGCATCTCAAAGCTGCATGACAGCACGCCCCACAGACTGTCTGTGGGACCGAGTGTGGGTAGGAGAAGCAAAATAGTGGTTCTTGCCTTGAAGAACTTTCTATGTTCAAGAAAAAGCAAACATGAAAACATTGCATCTTGCTCACATAGAGATATAAACAGAGGCAGCGGGCCTGGTGTAACTTCTACTGAAATGGGAAATGGATGAACATCTAGTGTGAGAGCAAAGTGCTCTGTTAGGAACATAAGGGAACAATCAGAAAATGATTAAGGGTTCCTTGTAGATAATTTTTTTGTTAGAATATATTTTTGTACAACATTAAAAGGCGGTTTAAAGTTCCATAAAAGTGCTGTTGTCTGTTTTTATTGTAGTTTTTGTTAATTTCCTGTTTATTGCTTTGGGCACCATAGTTACTTTTTTTTACAAATCAGTCAATAAAGTCAGTTTGGACTAAAAAAAAAAAAAATTCCAGTGTTTAGGTTAACATCCCTTACAGATTTTGGTTTGTTTTGTTTTTTTCAGGATTTGCTTCGGTGCCGAGTTTTGACTTCAGGGATCTTTGAAACGAGATTCCAAGTAGACAAAGTCAATTTCCAGTAAGTAAAAGTATTAGTAGTATTAGTATAGTGGTATATGTAGGTCTGGGTTTGTCTGTAATGAAGCTTTGTTAGATTACAACAGTGAACATCGGGACATAAACACAGAAAATAATCAACCAATAAACACTAAGACAGCCTTCTCCACTTGGTGGCAGTGTTGCACCTGTTTTTAAAGCCCAGATGTTCTTGTTTGATCCTCACAGCATGTTTGATGTTGGAGGTCAGAGAGATGAACGCAGGAAATGGATTCAGTGCTTTAATGGTAAACTTTTCTCCCTCCTCTCAGCTTTATTTTCTCCGTGCTGGTGTGTGATTGTGACCGTTGGTTTGCTCTCCACAGATGTGACGGCCATCATCTTTGTGGTGGCCAGTAGCAGCTACAACATGGTGATCAGAGAGGACAATCAGACCAACCGATTACAGGAGGCCCTCAACCTCTTCAAGAACATCTGGAACAACAGGTAGAGATGGTTGGCACCAGCACATCTGTACCCACTGTGGACTTTAGAGCAATGAGACAAAGATCACAAGCTGTCACAGGACAGCTGTTTGACCTTAGTATTTTTCTCTAGATAATAATTTTGCGTCTTTGCTTTCAGGTGGCTGCGGACCATTTCTGTCATTTTGTTCCTAAATAAACAAGACCTGCTGGCAGAGAAAGTTCTAGCAGGGAAATCTAAAATTGAGGAATACTTCCCTGAATTTGCTCGCTACACCACACCTGATGATGGTAAGTGGTCAGATATCTGAATCTCTGAGATCACCGGTGTTATTTTTGTGTGTAGATTTTTATCTAGGTGCGTTCCTTTGATTTGTTAGATCAGTGCATCGGTTTTTCAACTCATCATTTTATTTTTTAAGTTACTGACATAATAAACAGATCAATACAAACTTACTGATAATCGTCAAGTCATTACTTTGTTACTTTGGCACCTAAATTCTCCAAGATCAGGCTTTTTAAACTGGCTCCAATTTAGATGCTAAAGCATTGACATTCAACAGAGATACCAGATTATGCTCTGTACCTTAAATAACATACAGTTGGGTTTAGATTTCAAAGGTTCATTATTAAAGTTGGTATGGTTGCCAAAGAGTTAAAAGCCGCAGAACAAGAACCAATTAAAACAAGTACCTGAATTTTCTTGCTCTGTTGCTTGACAGGAAAGTTTTTCAAACTGTCAGGAGAAAAAAAGTGAATTTGGATTTGGGAATGTAAAAGATTTTGCATGTAAGAAAATGCATAGAAGTTTAGTTTGCAGCTTAAAGATATTGTGGAGGATTTTGTCAGATTTTTTAAATGACCCACCCTCTTCAAAAAAAAAAAAAAATGCACATGCATACTGTACCCGCTCCCGAGACGGAACGCCTATTAAAGGTGTGCGAGAGCATGGACAAGCCCATCTCTCCTCGTGCACGCTTTGTTTTAAAGGCATACTATACAACATTTTTCAGTTAATTAATGTGTTCCATAATGTTTTGGATGATTAAATGAGTCATTTCAGGTCGAACAAAGGTTTTCTCGGCCGCCCCTGGTGGTCTGTAGGGGAAATACCGTACTTGCAATTGCAGGAGCCCTCGGCCCGCACCCACAGGCTCAGAAGTCTCGTGCATCGCGAGAGTCGGTCTTGCTTTACGGCGAGAACTTGGCTAACTACAATCTTTGTTATTTAGACACATGCATAACAAATAATGTATGAAAACATGCTAAATTTTCAAACTCGAAAATTGGAACAAAATAGTCACTTAACGGAGTAGACATGGTGATTCGTTGCGTTCGCCTGTCTGCTAAGCTCAAAACAGCTTGACGCAAAAACCAGGAGAACAGCTCAGCATATTTATGACAGTGCACTATTACTTTCGCCCTCTGGGGGGAGCCTCGCTGGAAAATCAACACCGGTTGCATAGTATACCTTTAAAGTTGCTGTTTGCATCACTCATACAAGCTTACTTTACAAAAGAAGATTTGCAATTTTTCCACTATGTCAGACTCGCCACCGGTAAGTGAAAATGGGGACGAGCACGTAGGACGGCCTTACGTAAAAATATCACCAGAATGACTGACAATTAGGAGGACCACTTATTTTGAGCATCCACCCGGAAAAGAAAATCCTCCATTATACCTTTAACATTAATGTTTACTACAGTTCAGATACGTTCAAACCAAACCCAAATTTCACAGTTGGAGGGAAGGATTCTCATGTTATCTGTATGAGAGGGCGGATCTTGAGTGAAGCTGGCAAGGCGAAGGTGGCAAATTTAGTTGAAGGTGGCAACTTTTGATTTCTGTCTCGCCTGCAAATGAAGTAGAAAAATCTGAAATTTTGTTTACATTTATCTCACGAAATCCAGTCAGGGACTGGATCTTAGACAGGCCTTTTTTTTTTTTTTTTTTTTTTTTAAAGATGTAGATAATATTTGTTTACAAAGGCTGAAGCGGGAATGCTCTTAAGAAGATTGAAGGCAGCTTTTAAAAAAAACAGTTTTAATTTAGCCCTTTTTAGGGCTTTTTTGTCATCTTACTTCCTGAGCAGTCAGATGCCTTCTGTCCCCAGCTCCACCGGTGTCTGCCTGGTCGAGCTTCGCTGATCCATATCGGCACTCCTTTCATCTCCCAAAGTTAGCCTCTGGAGCCTAGCTCCAGCCAGCCGTAGCTTCTCTTAACTCTGCCTCCCTGGCCAGCGTCTCTGATATACCACTGTTCTACTCCAGGCAGTCGTAATCTCTACTCCATCTTTAGTTTTCTGTCTTCCCAGTGGACTCATTGGTCTGCCGCTGTGCTCCTCTGTTCCTCCACAGTTAGCTAGTCCCAGCCAGCTGCAGTCTTTCCCCGCAGGTGATGTTTCCCCAGCGGGCTTCTCCACTGTGGTTCCATAGTTCCATTGGGTGACACAGCATACAGCCTGCTCCGGGTTCCGTTTTTTCTTTACCAGTGTTCTTGCACGGATTTCCCGCTACTCCTGTTTGAGCTTCAGGATGCTGTCTCACCTAACCTGTGTTGTCTGGGTGATTCGTCCCCCTTTGCGGGACAGTAGGGCCCTGAACCAGGTCACGGATAGGCAGAAGTACCCCTGAAAGGGACCCTAGATAACTTTCGCCGGCCAGGTGAATTTCAAGGCGAGCAAAAGCAGACAAACCAGGCACCATTTTTGCAAGTTTCACTTTCTATATGAACAAACATGTAGCGTGAAACAAAGCAGATATTCTTCCTTTAACAACCTTTTTCACATACCCCCAAAGCTTCGTCATTCCTTAGATAATCTGTTTTATCTCTTGGTCTGACAGCGACACCGGAACCTGGAGAGAATCCTCGTGTTACAAGAGCAAAGTACTTCATTAGAGACGAGTTCTTGGTAAGTTCATCGAGTTTAGAAGCCACCACAAAGATGATGGCCATCACATCTGTGGAGAGCAAAGAATCCCTCAACTTTGTTTTCTTCCTGTTCTTTCTACAGAGGATCAGCACAGCAAGCGCAGATGGGAGGCACTACTGTTACCCTCACTTCACCTGCGCTGTCGACACGGAAAACATCCGCAGGGTCTTCAACGACTGTCGAGACATCATCCAGCGGATGCACCTGCGGCAGTACGAGCTGTTGTGATGGGACTTCCTCTGAAAAAAGAACAGACTACAGAAAAAGATGCTGAACACTGGGTCTCTGAACTCCCCTCTTCCACGGATGTGTGCTAGTGCCTGCAGCAAAGAAAAGGCCAAAGTACACACACTTACACACATCCTAAACCCAGAGCTACCCCTGATGCAACGTCCCCATGTGATGAGGGATTTGATGAAGGGGTTTCTGTGAATGAAAAGAGAATGAAAATAAAGACTTGAGATCTCCACCTTCAGCCATATTCCAAGCTCCTCACCTTTCTGACATCAAGTATTGTCCTCCATCACCCATCTGACAGCGGCCCAGGCCTGACTGAGTTTCCCAGCTTAGAGATTTTGTTACATTTGTGTTGATGAAAAAAACCAAGAGAGCTAAAAACAGAGAACTGTTGACTTACTGCAAAAAGACAAATGTGTCACCATAGATGAGCAGAACACTGTATCTAAATAAATAAGGAGAATGACAGAATAAAAACAACCAACACACAAGCACTGTGCTCAGGATCTGACTTGAACCATCTACATCGAACCTTCTGGTCACTCAGACGTCTTTGAGTCCAGCGCATGGAGTCTGCTCTCTGCCATGAACAGCAGGATCCTCCCATCCGCCTTCAGGCTGCTCAGCTTGTTGAGGTCCCAGCTGATTTATCATCAGAGAGACTTTGAGGGATCGAGTTCAGACTAGCGGACCTTTGTGGGGTGTTGATGGGTGGGTTGTTGGTGAAGTGGCTGCATTGACTCCTGAGCTGTTAAGCCACCCAACTCTGCCTCATCCGACGGCAGTGGAGCCAAACTAAGGAAAATGTATTCAGTAAAAAAAAAAAAATCTAAAAATGCCAACTTTTGTGGAATCAAAGACCAGACTGCGTCATCCAGTAGTAGAGTACCGTATAAATTAACAAGAACTCATCCTGTTTTACTGTCTCCACAGCTGTTTTTTTTTTTCTGTGTAGACTTTGTGCCATTGTGCCCCGTGTGCCCATTATTGCTGTTTTGCTTACTCTCCATCCTCACTCCCTTCCAACCACACATTTATTTCTTGCTCTCTGCCTCCTCCCATCAGCATCCTCAGCTACGTGTTTTTGTTTCAAATGAGAATGAGATGTTAAAACCCAGAACTTTAGAGAAACAGACACCAACCAGAATCCCTCCCTTTTTTCTTCTTTATGTATCTGTGTGGTTAAGCAACCCTCCCTCCCTCCCATCATTCCTCCCTTGACCTCCTGCTGCTTTGTCTGTATGTCTTTACTTTACTGCTGAACTATTATTCTTGTACAGACTGTAAAATGTATTATTTTGTACTTTATTGAAGAAAAAAAAAGAATTAACTTTTAGAAGATCCCTGTGCCTTGATCACGACTGTACGTGTGTAATGAGCTAAAGTGGGTGTCATACTGCGCTGTATAGCTTGGCCAATCCTCCTGACTCCTCACCATCCTCCCTAACTCCCTCTCTGTCCATGTTTTCCCTTCTCAGAGATGATGGGGAAAAACCACCTGTAGCTTTTTTTGTTTTCCTTTTTTTCCCTCCTTCACTCCTTCCCACCCTACCCCTTTTCTCTCATTATGATTTCAATGTCTATTTTTGGATCCATATACCCCCAAAAGATAGATATAAGAAATGTATATGGGTTTAAAAAAAGTATTTTATTAGAATCAAATGAACCTTGACAAATTGTACACTTGATAGTGTGCGTATTGCTATAACTTAAATCCTTTCAACTGAAATTGTGTTCAGGTTTCTTTTGTATTTCTTCTTCTGCAAAGCAATTTTTTTTTTCTCCATAAGATGCACAGGAGGAACGCTTAAAGAAGAGATGTTTGTACTGAAAAAAGGCAATCAAGAAAAAGCCAGAAATTATCACAAAATAAATCGATTTCATTTATTCTTACCAAGCTGACAACCTGTATAGCATCCTCACCCTTATATTTGATTTATCTAACATGGAGCTCTAGAAGTAATGTGTTTTTTATTTTGGGTCCAAAAAAAAACTTGCCCAGCGATGGACTGGCGACATGTCTAGGGTGTAACCCGTCTCGTGCCCGTAGACGGCTGGAGATTGGGATAAGCGTGACGGAAAATGGATGGAACGGTCCAAAATCTTGGGGCCTCTCCTAAAAATACAGGCAACAGGAAAATTCCCACCTTTCACATAAAGATTTTTTATTTATTTTTTTTAAGTTTCCTCTTATCCATTAGTTTTTATAAGTTAGGAGGGATGTTTTAAATCCACAACCAAAGAAACATTCTGTTTACTAAACACTTTCTCTCCAGATCCACAGTCTGATATCAGCAAACAGTTTCCACACTCTAAAAAAAAAAGAGCTAGAAATAAGTTAAAATGTCTTAAATTAAGTGTATTTACCCTTAATGTGGGTAGGTAAATGAGATAGTTTGCTAATAGAATGAGTATTTTTACTCTTAAAATAAGACAATGCAATTGTGGTTTCTTATTTTAACTCTAAATTGTCTTGTTGCATTGTCTAATTGTCTCTTATTTCGTCAATTCAACAACAAATGCACTTATTCGAAGAAAAAATGACTTCTAGATTTAGATTTTTTCCAGTGCAAAATATGTCTCTGATCAGAAGTCTTCCGCTTGTGGACCACAACACTGTGAAAATACAGCTGCTTTAGAAACAGAATCTTTAGTCCCAATAATAACTCTTAGAAAACAGTATTTATAAAGTGTTTGACAGTGGCTTCCATGTTTTTGTTTTTTGTTTCTTGCTGCCATAAACATGAAATCCAACATTTAAACTCATTCTAAACACTTTCATGAACAATAGCATCATTAATTTGCTGACTAATATTTGAACCATTTCATTGGGGGAAAAGTGCAGATGGTGAAAAAGATTAACTCTAAAAAAAAATTTACCCAAACAAAACGATTCATCATTTTGATGATAGTGGTTTAAACTTAGAACATTTCTCAGAACACTTTGACCAAATAAAACTGACATTTGGGGATTTTTCACATAGAAATCGGAGATGCTGTGGTTTCCAGTTACAGGGAAGACTATTGAAGTGACACACCAGAAAGGTGAGCCACAAAATGTCTAGTTTATGTCTGAAAATTTTGCATTTTCACTTGGAAATTAAATGTCCAGAGGCAGGATGAGTAGGCAAGATGCTTGAAGTCCAATGGGAGGTCTCCGTAGACGATGTTTTGGATTTTAATCTACTAAGTTTAATAAAGGCCAAACTCTGCATTTTTCAGGAAGTGTTGAGAGCACTTCATCCTTCAAATAGCTGAGAAGCCTAATGGAGATTCTCCGTTTCATTTTAAGCAGGACTTTGTACCAACAGGGTTTAATGAGCAGCAAACTGACCAGACTTAAACCCCAAAGAGAACGTGTGGAACATTAATTGCAGATACTGTGCAATAAATGGGCATATTTCTGTACGTAACGTTTTTATTAGTATTAAGTAAATATTCAGATTTTTTTAACTGTTTATTGTAATAACTAAAGTTCATTAGAATAATCACTGATGTTAACCAAAGTGTAAAAAACAAATATCACGGTGTACTTTAAAATTTAATAACAAATTAAATCCATCCTGATGCAAAAAGGGTTGTGTATCTTTATCTCAAGCAGCTGAAGCAAAAAATGTAAATTATCTAATTTCATAGGATCCAAATAAACACAGCTGCTCTAATACAGAATGATCAGATTTACCTCCAGCTACAAGAATCAAATTATTGATGGTATCACTTATGTTTTTTCATCTTTTTATCAAATCTAGTACAACCTCAATGCCTACCTTTTCAAATATCACAGAGTCCTAATCTCAACATGATTTGGTTCAAACATGGAGGGAATTTGGGTGTGAAGCAGTTTTTAGATTAAATCGAGAAAAAAAAAAAAGTATTTCTATGAAGATACTCAGAAATATGAGAGATGTTCTTGATTTATTCGTATCTGTAAGGTGTTTCCTTTCACATTAAATTGTATCCTCTCCCCTCACTGTTGATTGCGTAGGCATCACATCTGCCATACTGCTGCTGGAGTACTGCACTAAGATCCATTCTTCGCAGTGGAAAGCAACGCATCTTAACTGGAGTCCTCTACAAAAAGTTACAAGCATTTATGCCGGGAATAATATCACAGCTGAAACCATTTTTCTTTAGCTGGGACCAAAAAGACGTCAAGAAATGTTATTGTCAAAAGTCTAGCCAAAGACGATTCACATCCCTGGAATAAACAACCATATACACAAGCAGACTCAAGGGCAGATTTAGAGAGAGTACCCGAAGAGAACATATTTATAATTTGGGATTCCAACACAGGCCTTTTTTATGCCGCTATTAAGCCTCTATAGTAGCCAAATAACACTGTTTCACCAAAAGTGCTTAAAATAAACACTTTCAGAAAATAAGTATGAATAAATTAGCTAATATTATTTGGTTGAGAGAGTGAATTATTTTTTGTCAAAAATTGTACATCAATAGACTGCTGCCTCTACAACCCGGCCCTGGATAAAGAGGAAGAAAATGGAATGGAATGGTATATCAATAATTCTTAACTGTTGTTTAACAAAAGCTCTTATTTTGAAATAATCATAATATTGCCTTCACTCTTGCAACAGTGGTGAGTGGTCAGGGCCTTCAAGGCCTTCACTGCTGGCATAAAATCAATCAGAAACACTAACCTACATTTACAAACCAAACATGGATTTTTGTCTTTCCAGCTGTACTGATTTATTGCAAATAATAAATTCTCTTAATTTTGTTGCATTTCTCTTGGCCATAACATTTATGTAGTCGCTATATTTTTTTGTCCAATCAGATTTAATCTTCAATGCGTTGCTATTGTCAAACAAATCTGCCCAGGGCCTTCATAAACAGCAGTGCTGTCTGATCTTAACCTAACAATATTAGTGAGGAACATTTTCTTCAACCAATCAGATTTCCGATTTGCGCTACTGGGCCAGCTAGATGCCCCACCCTAACATTGACATTTTTTGTACTCTGATTGGTCAGTTAGAGCAAGATGATTACAGCCAATTAAGCTTGTGACAATCTGCATTTTAGATTAGCTTTTGTTAAAAGTTTTCCTGGCCTCAATGGCTGATTCTAAATAGAGATACTAAGAATTCCTGCACAAATACAGAAGGACGGATTTTGTTTATAAATAGTCAGCATCTATGGTTGGTGTGATATATTTTACTTTCATGCTTTATGCCCTATTTTATCTGGTAATTAGTTGCATGTTGAATCTGAACAGCTCCTGGTGCTGTATTTGTGGCGGAGCTGTTGTTATAGAGAAAAGGACTTAACTGAGACTCTTGCTTAAATGATCTCTGTATTCACTATCACACTAATCTTTTTCTTGGATATACCTGAGCTTGTTACATTTCATATTTGAATATAGTTGGCGATTTCTTTTATTAAAATGGGAAAGTGGTGATATGAACCCCTTGTACAACAAACCCTTTGTATTATCATGATAGCGTGTGCATCCCCTCAGTGCAAGTTATTATACATTCAGTGAACAGGAAACTTTGGCAAACTCTTGTTTATGTGAGAACTGGTCTCTAACAGTGTTTGTTATTATATACCTAAATACATTTATATTTAGATTCAGAAATCAAGGGGTTAAGATAAAGATTTAGGATTGAGGGGTGCACACTGAAGGCCTATGAAGAAGATGCACTGCCCGCCACTGTCTTACAATATCATTACAGACAATTTTGCATAAATACCTGGTAGATTTGGATGTAAATATATTACAAAAAAGACAATTCTTAACTTCCAAACCTACCTATTGTGGGACAATAAAGGATATTACAAAGGAAAAATACATTTTAAATATAGAAATATTTTATGGCCAACACATTCATGGTGCTACCTTGACATCAGCAAACAATTACTGACTCTCACCACGAGAGGAAGCCACCAAAGGTTTTAAATAAAGAAGCTGAGTGTTCTCCAGGCATATTAACAGAAAGTTGTCTGGAAGGAAAACCTGTGTTCAAAAAGCACATGTTGAAGGGCTATCCACAGCCTTGAGGGGGTGGCAAAACAAATCCGATTTAAGAGTTTGGGGAAGATTCTCACCTGCATCTGTAGTCCTTGCTTATAGAGCCATGCAGATCGATCCAGGGCACAGATTATACCTGCAGCCTTCCTTCAATCTGAAGTTGTTTTCAGAGCAAAATAGAAAAGGACTTAACTTTTCTTCACTGGTTCAATGGACAGTTGAGAGGCACATAATTCAATGTCTACCAAACAGCCGTGTCTTCTATGGCTGTTGGTCCACTGCATTTTATCAAATATTAAGTAAATCCAGGTGTCCACCAGGAAATTATAGAGCATTTTATGTTTAAAGGTGATATAAACATGGCTTCCAAAATTATTATGTCGGATTTAATGACCAAGATTTGAATAATATTTATTGTCATTATAAAACCACACAACTTTGCTAAGACCCAAAACGTAAAAGGCACACATACTTATATAGTATAAAACACACGGAAGATAGGTGGAAAAAATTGAAACAAAAATTATAATTTTCAAAAGTCCTTAAAAGAAAAATATGTAGTATATAGCAATGTTACAAACCAGTCTGTGGTCTGATGGCAGGGATGGTAGACCTACATTAGAAAATATGAAACCCTTTTATCATCCTTGTAACGATCCAACTCTCTGGGAAACAGTTTGATCTGATTTAGTATTATTTAATAATTATTGCTTTTAATATATATATATATATATATATATATATATATATATATATATATATATATATATATATATATATATATATATATATATTAAAAAGAAATGCTGAGAACATCCCATTTCACTTATCTGCAATACTTGTAAATATTGCAGGCCGTTTTGACATTTATTAGAGGCGCTGTCCTCTCTATTGTTCCATTTGTTGATCGCTAAAATAAGATTGTTCCTAGTAATTTTAGATATCTGAAATGTTTTTTTAGATGTGAGGAATGTTATTTTAGATATCTGAAATGTTCATTTTGACTAGGAATAAATGCATTTGAGACGTCTGGAATGTATATTCATTCAAACCAGTAAATGTCAAAACAACCTGCCATATCGGCCGGCTGATTTCCTGCTAGCGTAATCCTTCGTGACGTCATCGCGTTACTTCGACTCTTTCCTCTCCGCTGCTAGCTGTTAGCTTCCCAACAGCTGTCGGTGGCCCTCAGTGAGCAAAGCCTGTCAATCTTAACGGCTCTGATTCCTTTAGAGGACCGCCGTTTTACTTACTCCAGGAACCAGCTGTTTTTCTTTTCTTAGGGTTTCCTACCGTGTTATACGGTTGTCGTTGCTCTTGCCGTCACGATAGACAGAAGTCCTGGGACATGGCCAGAGCAGAACAAGTGCTGGTGCTAGAGCCGCCACAGGAACTCAAATTCAGAGGTAACGCTGGAGCCGAGGGCAGGGCCGAAGCTGGGCAGCTAGCTCTATTCGCTAGCCGCAAGCTGTGTGCCCTTTTAATGTGCTGTTTCTCATTTTATCTATTTAAAGGAATGGATATAACCTACTGGAACGAGTATTTAGCTAAATAGAGATTAAACATTTTACCGGGTAGCGTTTAGTTTGTCTTACAGGCTAGGAACATTGCTAGCTGTCATTGCAGCGTCAGGACAGGCCATCCATACCATTACTACAGTTGTCTTATCTGCTTCCTTTACTTTGGCTTTCATTTTCGGGATATATTGAATACCCTTAAGTTTGCTAATGTATAGCGGGATTCCTTAGGTTGTGTTTTGTGGTTTGACTTGTCAACCCAAGTCTGGCAAATAGTAGCTTTTCTAGCATTTTCTACAGTTTGTCATTGCTTAGCCTAATTACCATGCCCAGTGATCTAAGCTTGAAAGCTCAGACTCAGAGCTTTATCGTTCAAAATGAGCCGATTTCTTCTCTTGTGTTGCTGCATTTAAAACAGACTGATTATGAAATTAGATTTAGCATGTTTTTAGTACTAATCTCCTTTACCCCCTTATTCAATCTGAGGGGTTTTATGTTGTAGTACATATGAACTGGGTGCAGGAATAGCTTTGTAGGAATAGTTCAAGAGGGGGTGTGATCCCTGATTGATCATTGCAGCTCCTATAATGCTAAGAGGAGCCAACAGAGGATGCACACATCACTGTTAAGGCAGTGCTGAGCAGCCTTAACAGAGGGCATAGTCAGGTTCTTGGTAAGAGATTAGCTTTAATATTAAGCAACATTAAAAGCAAGTAGAAAGCAACAGTCTCTTAACTCCATCCTTGTGTGTTTTATGCTTTATTTAGCTTGCAATTAAGGCTGGGGCATTTAAATATTAATGATGTTACAGCAGTTAAGTTTGATTTTTTTTAAAATCCTCAGTATTGCATTTGATGAGATAAATTGCATAAAAATGTGCAGTTTCTTTGACATTTTTTGCCAGTTTTGAATAGTAAAAAAAAACCCAAAGGTGCTTTGTAGATCGATCTCATTTGTGTATCAAAATATATGTTACTACCAACTGCTCTTCATTTGTCAGATCATATTACAAGCTAGTGAGGGATGCATTATAGTCTGAAAAAAATGGGAGTTCTTAGTTTTGATGTTTCTAATGGATCAGGCTTAAAGATCTTAAATTTCCTATCTGAATGATCAATATCTATGTCTGGGTAATTGATCAGTGCATCTCCAGCATAAGGCTCTTTCTCTGGACTCTCATTATTGCAAATGCACAAGTGTTGTGCAAACTCTTTCGTAAGAGTTCTTGAATATTCAAATGTTTCTCCTTCAGTCTTTATATGAAGTTTATCACAACAGTTAAATATCATAATTATAATTTCAGTGACAGACTGTTAGCAGAAACCCCTCATTGGCCTATTTTTGTGTCCTCTGCAGGCCCTTTTAAAGATGTTGTCACCGCCACACTGAAGCTCACTAACCCATCAGACAGAAATGTCTGTTTCAAAGTTAAGACAACCGCACCTCGCAGATACTGTGTGCGTCCGAACAGTGGCATCATCGACGCTGGAACTTCCATAAATGTTTCTGGTTTGTAAAACATATTTGGTTACAATGAATTTTAGCCTTCTAATGTCAGTGTTCTTTTTTTTTTTTTTTTCTATGATGCCTTTATCTGATTTACAGTAAACAACCATTGGCTATCTAAAAAAAGTCTTTAATAGGATCTGATGAGGTTAAATGGATTGATCATCTTAACCTACAACAGTGACAAAACATTTCATATTTTTACTTGTTGTGCTAGAAAACCTCATTCCTAAATATTCAAAACCTAGTTTTAATCCTTTTGTCCGTAGCCATTTTCCATTTAATGCGTTTAATGATAAAGTGTAGAATTCCCCACAAAATTCAACAATGTCAGTCTTATATTTCTTATTTAAAAATGGTCTTCATTGATTCACACTCCTAATCAAAATATTAAGAGATGGCTACAAGTTCACTTCTTCCAGGGCACTAAGTTGTGCATCTGAGTTCCCCCACTCTCTTTCTGTACTGTTTACCAGGTCTGCTTTAAGGTGGATTATTTTGAAGCCCTTCCAATGCAGATACTGCTGTTGGTTATTTAGTTATAATAGCCTTAATTTGGGCCAAAGAGTGTCCCTATGTCTTGATGGACAACTGATTGGATCCTGTGGCTCAGTGCCAGTGAACATGTTTTTGGATCTGCCCCTTGATTTAGTTCCACGCCCCGTCTGAAGAATGTTAAACTGTCCAACCTCAGCACCATAGTGTGAGACACCAAGGTTGGGAGTTTGGACGAATCTATCGATGATAGACTCGGCCCTGCAGTAACTTTTTTTTTTTTTTGGTGTGCTTCTTTTTTTGGACCTATGGGTTAAGATGCAGCCCGAAAAAACAACAATAAAGAAAACTCAACACTGTTTTTAATGGCACACACACAAACTCCTTCCAACTGCAGTATTTTCCCCTCTGCCACCATGCAGCAGCCGAACAAGAGAGAGGCTGTTTGTGTTTACAGGCTGCTCCATCTTGATTTTAACACAACAAATACAAAATTAAACAAGAAAAGGAAAATTCTTTCCTTCAGTGAAGCTGTGCGCTTTCAATTTTGCGCATTCAGACAAACAAATGAATAATGATAAAAAACTGTCTCATAACATTGTCAGAGGAACTGGAGAAGAGTAAACTATATATTTTTGACAAGAAAACAAGCATGTTTTCCCTAGTAAGTTTTAGCAGTATGCGCAGGTTGTTAGCAATAATATCAGCGGCGCAGACGACGCACTCTGAAGGGGTGCTTGTCTTTGCTCACAAAGTCACCTGCAAGTATACATCATCCATCACCATTTGTTGGACTGACGTATAGTGGCTGGAAAATTGTAACATATTGCCCATCCTTATGAGACACCATGATTTTACAGGCCCTGTGAGAGCACAGTGCAAAACAATATTTTCTGAATTGTCTGGTTCAGTTTTATTTCTAATAAATTGTTGAAATGTTTTTTTTTTCCCTTGCTCTAATTTCTTCTTTTGTCATCCTACTGCTCTACTTAAAGTTGCTCCTTCTTAAGATCCAGCGCTAAATAAAAACAATTGCAATTTTTGTAGCAGGTCTTAAGATTTTAATCAGGAATTACCTTCAGACTTTATTGGGATTGCAGGTATTTTTGTCTCAACTTTAGTCAGGGCTTTGACCATTAATAGGTATTTTTATGTTTTTTCGTTTCTTCGATTGAATGTAACTCAAGTCTATGAATTATTTGGACATAAAACAGCTACATTGATAAAAACCAATGTTATCTACACATAAGAAATGAGAGAGAATCTTTTTTTAAATTCAGTCTTTCGGTTCATCCTCCTATAATTTTCTTTTGGCCTCATTTTTCTTTATATTTTTCTATATTTATAAGAGTCTAACACACCTTGACCCATGCATGGTATTTATCACCTAGTTGTATGTTTGGAAACCATTTGCGCTTTAGACATGTGTATATGTTGAAGACAATAAGCACTTTTGAATCTTTAATCTTCTCCTTCCTTTCCCTTCACAGTTATGCTACAGCCATTTGAGTACGACCCCAATGAGAAGAGTAAACATAAATTCATGGTGCAGTCCATTCTGGCTCCCAGAGACATGACTGACATGGAAGGAGTTGTGAGTATCAAATTAGGAGGTTTGGGGGCAAAGTTGCTGGGGTTAACCCATTAAATGAGGATTTATTTATGTTATAGGCTTAAAGAAGCAATAAGTAAGACATTTTCTGTTAAATGAACAAAAATCATTATCACCCAGGATGGAAACGACGATCCCTATAAACGATCGACAAAGCTAATTAAATTTGAACACATTTGAATATCTCTTAAGGAACACAACTCAGCAGTAATTAAGTTAATCAGTTCTGTGTGATGTTATCTATAATTCAGGACCTGTATGAAAGGTGAAAGCCTGTCTGACTCTTTACTGAATTCTGTTCGTTTCTGTGTACAGTGGAAAGAGGCAAGGCCTGAGGAGCTGATGGATTCAAAGCTAAGGTGTACATTTGAGATGCCTCTAGAAAATGACAAAGCTGTAAGTAGAAGTTACTTTTGTCTCACTGCGTCATTTTTTTGCCTTCAGACGTTACACTGGGAGCTTTTAGAGCACGTCTCACATTCAGTAGTCACTAAACAATGCATCATTGAGAAATGCGTTTTTCCTCATATGTTTAGTATTGTTTCAGTGTCCTGTCATCAGCAACAAGTTCTGTCATTCATTACATGATGTTTGTATTCATCCATGTTTGTTCCTGGATCTCACTCCCTGCCATGTTGGCATGTTTTCTTTTTCCTTTTTGCATTTCTCCTTCTTCCTCCTCCGCTGTCATTCCACCTACCCCACCCACCCACTCTCTCCACAGCATGAGAGTGAAAGCAACAAAACTGTGTCTTCCTCTACCTCTGTTAAGACTGAGCACCATGTGGCGCCTAAGTCCTCCAGCGCCTCGCTGGATGACGGGGAGGTGAAGAAGATCATGGAGGAGTGCAAGCAGCTGCAGATGGAGGTGCAGAGGCTACGAGAAGAAAACAAACAAATCCGGGTGAGAAGCCCTAAAGCAGCGGTTTTGAAAATGTTCATCTCTCCCTGCTTCGTTTTTTTTTTCATACTTCCTTCTGTCCTTCCTTTTTCTATACCCTCCCTGCTTTCCTTTTTGTCCTTGTTTACTTCCTTGTTTCCTTCCTGCTTTCCATTTTTCTTTCCGTTCTTCCAAATGTTATTTCTTCTGTCCTTAGTTATACTGTCCTTTCATCCTTTTTATTTTTTCCCCCTTTCCACTAAAAGCAACTCGGAGCAATTTACTACGGATAAATTCACTTTTTCGATGTTTTTGTTGGATCTGTTACTATTTCTAGTCCCTGCTCGGTTTTGGTTCCAACCACTCTTGAATCGCAATGAAACTGTCCTTCACTTATCGTTTAGAGGACGCTGTCACTAGTGGACGCTTTCAATTTGGCCAGTTAATGCCAGAGCACCATTCGCCGCAAGGCGAGTAAATATTTGGACCACAGTCACGTCCTTTCATCTATTATTTTGGTATGTCCCTTACAGAGAGCACACCCCAATACCCCGTCCTTTAACAAAAGCTCCACTGCTATCTAGACTTTGGCTGAGCCTTCTAAAAGGCAACATTCAGAAGAGGAGAGAAAGTTTATTGAATCATGGTGCTTTTTGGAAGACTGTGTTTTGTAAGACTGGCTTATTTATAATAGCGATGCTAAGCTAGTGAACTACTCAGTGTTTAGAAAATACTCAAATGAGAACAGGAACGATTAATTTGTCATAGGCTGTCAGTCTATGAAATTGGACAGCGTCTGTGAACACAAACGCAGGAAATGCAGCATTCACTGAATGCCCATATCTGAGGCCACTGTCAGGGCGCTGATGGTTTCATCAACACAAACACACAAAGATAAAAATTTTGGTCGGCACTGCCCTTGCCATTTGAAGATATTATAACAAATAAAAATTATTTGCTGTTTTTTTATGCTTTTATTTATGGCCACTATGAAATTTTAAATATTTTGCATTTGCCCCTTTTTGAATGAAATTTAATAGAATTCTAAATTACAACTTTAGTTCATAAAACTACATTATCTTTTACCGTAATATTGTTTGCATTTCCTATAATACCTTAGTGAAATAACATGTTCCTTAAAAATATATGAGAGCAAATTATTTTATTTCCGGCAGGTAAATAATTGGATCTTCCTCTCCAACTTGCCGGCGAGTCAAAAAGTAAATTTCGGATCCTGCCATTATATCATTTAATGCTGACCTTATTGGGATGTAAGCGCTATCATTACAAGCTAGCAGTTGTTAGCTTTCATCATTCTATTAGATCTCTCCTGTACATATCTAGATCGCTTCATTTAGCTGCCTACAGTCTTCTTTTCCTGTGAGTCTGATAAGCATAAACGGAGCAGGCTGTTGTTGTGACGTCTCTATAAACCACATTACGTTATAGCAGTGTTGTTATGACAGATTAATAGAAAATGAATCAATCTAAAGTAAACTCACCCGACCTGAACAGATAAATTAGCAATAGAAAAGAGGCATTTCTTCCTTTCTTGCCAGTGTCCTTCAATCTGTTCTCTGTTCCCTCTTCAGGTAGTTCCTGCTTTCCCTCCTCTCTCTTTTTTTTTTTTCTTTTAGTCCTCCATCCCTCAGTCATCCCTCTTTCATGTGTCCTTGCTCATGCCCTTTTACCTTTCTTGTGCCTCTCCTTCCATTTGTTTGTTTTCTATCCACATTTGGCTCATAATTAGCATTTGTGTTTTATATGTCACAGTACCTGCAGTAAAACACATTTAAGTGGATAAAGTTATGGCTACGTTTAACGTTAGTAATAGTCAAATATTTTGCCACCCTTAAAGTTGGTCTTAATTTTTAAACAGAGGTGTCTTGGAAGCTTCATCTTAACCAACTTAAAATATACAGAATTGTTATAACGCTGCTTTTTTTAAAGGATTGGCATGTGACAAATGTTTGTTCAGAAAGCGCCTTTGATGGGTTTTGCTTCCTTGCCTCAGGAGGACGACGGCCTGCGGAAGAGGAAGCTTACAACAGTGCCTAGTCCTCACTCCAAGAACATGGCTAACTCGATGATGACGAGGGAGGAAGGCCTGAGCACCCGCGTCCTTGCATTGTGCTTGCTCTTCTTTGTGATCGGAGCCATCATCGGGAAGCTGGTTCTTTAGAGACACAGACAGAGCACAGCGACCGACCGACGGAAGGATGGACACCGTGTTTTAAAGGGCACGTAGCGATGACGGCAACGGCGATCAATGTCTTCTGGGTTTTCTGTTCATCTGTTTGCTTTTTTTTCTTTACAATTTAAAAGCTATTAGCCGAGGGTTTATTTTTCTTCAACAACAACATTTGTACAATGATGATTTAAAAGACAGCTGAGTGAAAAGCTCTAAATTTCTACTGTTAAATAAGGCGTTCATCAGGCAGTAAGGATGGCTTGAGTAAACACTGGTGAACTGGCAACATTTGAGATATTCTGGTGTAGATTCAGACCCATGTTAATCTTTACTTAGAATGCAAATAAAATGCCAAAAATCCAGTTAGTTTTGATGATTCCCATGATGGATGCTTCTGTTGTTGGCAGCACATTGATCGTCTTCAGAGCTTAGCGTTGGTTAATGCTGCCTAATTGGGCAGATCTATTTACTTTCCTAATCGATTTGTTTCTGAGCAGTGATAAAATAAGTCAAAGCCAATTTCCTGCTTCCTCTGCCTCAACTAGTACTGTGAAACACCAGCACTCTGGCAGGGATATGATTTATCTCCGTTCCCCATGGTGTATGTTCCAATAATGGTGATAGGCTGCACTCTTAATGGGGCTAAATTGTAGAACCAGGCTGTTTATGTCCGTCTGCTTTCTAATCCGTCTGCAGTACCGACCGTCGTCACAGCATCTTATTGCCACGCTGCTTTTAAATAATCTAGTTTAAATACTGAAATTCATACTGGTTAAACTGGATCCCTTCTCACTGCTGGTCGTACAGCAGGAGCGGCAGGTTTTGCAGCAGTTCATGAAACTGGTTCTTTTTTCTTTCAATCGAAATACCATGCATGTGTCCTTAGTAACCATCGCTGAAGGATAAATTTAGGAGAAAATGGAGAAACATCACCAAAGGATGTACTGATCAGGTGACTTGTGGCATCTTTTTTGCTGGGTTTTATCATGATGAAGGTATCTTGACACTGAGGTGTTTTTATCCATGACGATCCTTTTTCTAATGCGAGTTTAATCATTGTACAGAAGGTCTGACTACTTTAAAGGGAGTGTTAAAAACCACCGTGTGTCTAAGGAGAGTGAAAGGTAAACAAAGGAGGGCAGGCCCAAGTTAAACCACAAAGCTTAGTGTTTTTTGTCACACATCTGGCTTTTTTTGTTGTCTTTTGTACTCGAGTCTTGTTGTTCTTCACTGCTTCTGATCTTTTTTTTTTCCGTCCATCTTTGCTTCCTAAAGGATCTTCCCCAACTTTTGCACCGGTGGCAGTAGGAGGTGTGTGGAAATGGCTTAACGCTGGCTGAATGTTTAGTCTTTCATTGATTCTCTAAGCTCCTCCCTCGCTTGTCTTTGCCGCTTTTATCTCGTCTCTTCCACTAATTACTGATGATCTAACGGAACAGAAAAGCAAAATTAATCATTGAAAGACTTTTTTTTTTTTCTCCTGAATGCAAACTCCATGTATTGTCTTCTAAAGAGTGACGTGAAAAACTATATATGTATAAAAATATAAATATATGTATACTGTATGTATGAGCCAGTAGATGCTGTGTGTGTGTGTGGATGTTTTAAAGTGGTGGTGCTGCAGTTTCCTGTTTCTAGCAGGAAAAATGGGGACGTTTATTTGAAAAAAACAACAAAAAAATCAAATCTCTTCAATCAAATTAAGATTTTTGGGCCACTAATAAAGTTCTGACTCAATAAAGGGTTATGATGAATAAAATGAGATGCAGGGTGATCTATTAAGGTAATAAAGCTGTATTTTAAAGTATCTATTAACTGATATGAAGAATCTGACTTTAGACTGAAAGAGTGAAAAACCAAAGCAGCTGCAGACCAGATGTTAAATCTATAGGAAACCAGTTTAGAAAATCTCTTTTTGTCCACTATATGTTAATACCAGTCATCAAAGCCCCCCCCCCCTTTTTTTTTTTTGGCTTTTGCTCCTATGTTATTTTAAAAATAAGTAATTTTTATAACCCTATACCACAACCTGCATGAAACTGGTTTACAACTGCTGTTATTTATTCTAAGGGTGTGAAATTCTTCACGCAAAGCAAACAAAGCCTGTCTTTTCGAAAAGGGACCATGTTAAGTCTTGGTTTTAACTGCTTTACTCTTTTTGGTTTACCGTTTGAGTTTCTCATCCACCTCTGTTGCTCACAGGCTTACTGCTGTATTTATCTTAAAGCAGACGGCTTTATAAACCACTTTTGTTTCAGAGAACAGCAGAAATGCGTGTCTTTCGTTGCCTGAAGCAGATGGGGTGTGGCTGTGCAGAGACATTTGGGGGCGTTTATGAGAACTGACCTGTTCATACGCACTACATTAAAGGAAAAGCTGAAGGTATATATACGCTTTAGACCTCTCCCGCACTGGTACAGTCTCAGCAGTGTAATCACATAGTCATTGGATACTCTTTTGTATGTACATATGAACACGCAAACGTAGTAAAACGAGTAATTGAACAGCCATGATGGGTCATGTAGCATCACAATAAATTACGATACATAACCTTCCCCCAAACTGGTTGTTACTTCTGTATGTTTTCCTTAAAGTTTCAGTCTGTGAGACGTCAACTTAAATATAGTCATCATTCGAACAGAAACATTTTTATTGCTTTAAGTGTCCCTCCATGTTCTTTTTTTTTTTGCTTTTTATCTCTTAAAGTTTCAGATAAACAGATTAAAATAAAACACATCAGTAACCTGAGTAAATTCTAAAAAGCTGTTTAGCTTGTTTTTAATTGGAGAAAAATGAGCAATCCACCAGAACCTGCCTCTGGGAAGGTCATTTCACCTTTAAACTGTATAAATAACTGGTTGTGCCACCTTTAAGGGAATGACTGACTTCATCTGGGAATTAGTCTTTACTATCTCTATAAAATGTCTTCAAACCTCTATTGATTCTATTTCTGTCCTTTTGACCTTATGGTGTGTTTTGGTTCGTTGTCCTCCTCCATAACCCAGGTTTGCCTCATGGATGGACTAATTATTGGATGTTCTTAATGGGGAATTTTCTGCTCCATCAGAGTTCATAGCTCCCTCACTGACAGCAGGCCCAGACCGGCACAGGCTTGACTGTTGGAGTAACTTTTTGTTTTTTCTGACATAGACTGAAGTTTATAACAGAATCAATTAAATGACACCTGTCAACAGGTTTTCATTTTGATAAAAAAAAAAAAAAAAAACTTCTCTAAAATCTTGAAAATCAGGGTATTTTTTTCTGTCAGCCTTTGTCTTTGTTTGATAGAGCAGAAATGCTTCTAGTCTGATAAATCCAAATTTTATTTTATTATTTAATACTATGTTTAACAATGACTGGAACTAGTTCTTCATTCTTTAGATGAGTTGAACCCGTTTTTCCCATGAGAAGAAAAATTTTAGTTAACATCAGTAGATATAGTTTTTGTATTTAATCAGACTTTTATATTAGAGATAACCTATCTGCTCCAAAATATGTTTCCCAATAAAACAAACTAAAAATGGTTATACGTTTATATGTATGTGTACCTTTAGGGTTAGTGATGATTTAATCTTTAGGATTTTTTTAAGTTTCCCTTAATGTTGCTTTTATTCATTAAATCTTCCGTTAATTGCCACAGATCATCCTATTTGCTTGAAAAGCATATTCCCTAAAAACAAACTAAAATATAATAACTGTTGGATGGTCTTGGTACACAGTGGTCTTGCTGTTTTAAAGGATTATGTAAAACATATTTGACTTAAAGTATATTGCTGTAGAGAAGACTATGTTTTCTCTTTTTCACAGACATTTACCCTCCAAAATGGTCCTCTTTTGCATTTTGACAAAATCTGACTTAAGGTAAATTAATGCAGAGAAAGCAGGTCTACAAAACAGAACTAACCTCTAAAAAAAGAAAATAAAAAAAATATCCACTGGACTCTTTCTAAGTTTGAAGACGTTTCGCCTCGCATTCAGGAAGCTTTTTCAATTCAAAATATTAGGAATAGCGTTGAGTTTGAGGATTTATACAGTAGCCAAACAAAGCCTTGTTTTTGTTTTGAAAACATGCAAATTAGAGCGGATCCGTTCCAATCTGCATTTTCTTTTTTTGGAATGACAATGACCTGGATGACTGAGAGTCTTCACCAGCATACAGGACCAGGAAATCTTCCCTTCAAGGCACAGAGGAGGGAGTACCGTGATTTGGAGTGATGGAATTTCCCTTAAGATGTGAGTCCTCAAACTTAAACCTGAAGGAAGGTGTGTAGTTTAACCAAGCAGGGGAGGAGGCTCATTTAACCTTGGTATGATGTTAAAAAAAATAACCCAAGTTTATTTTGCATTCCAATAAATTTGACTTCCTCAGCTTTAAACATTAGTCATGCTGGCAGAAGTATATACGTGCAAAAGCATAATCATTTTATCTCTGATCTTTTTACTGTCAGTGAAATAAACACATTTGTCACAAGTATCAATTTATTAGCAGTAGGCTTTTAAAAAAACATTTGTGCATCACAAAGTGCTTCTTGCCTAACCATGCTACTGATATCAGGAAACACAGGGCCACCTTCTTTATGGAGAATCTGCAGAAATCAAGTGATTGTTCTGTCGACACTCTGCTTCTTCACACTCCTTTAAAAAGGAGTATGAAGAAAGTTTCTTTTTCTGAGTGAAAGCCACAATAAATACCACTTATAGTTTGTTTGCAAGCCATGTGGAGGACATAGCCTCATGTACAGGAAAGGTAATGAGATAATGGTAATGAGACTAAACTGAACATTTATGGTCTACGTTTGTTTGCCAAAATACTTATGAGCAATGCTGGAAGAATACGATTTAGGAGCTGAAATGAAAAAATAATGCAAGTGTATTTGGCATTTACTTAATCATATTTAGTTACTATAACACAATTGTTTCCTGTTAGCAGGGATGGACATAAACCAATTGTGTTAAATTAGCTTAACATAATTGAGTAAATGCTAAAAGCAGTTGCATTATTTTTTTCATTGTGAGGTGGAAATTCACCTTCCATATATATATATATATATATATATATATATATATATATATATATATATATA